TGGTCTATTTGGATTCGGCGCTGGTTTGATGGTGGGCGCCAGGTTGTCAAGCGATTTCCGCTGTTCCGGAAATTCGTACTGCACAGGAACAGCCTGTGATCAGCCCACACCTGAAGTAAGCGGTCTCCGTTGTCCGTGCGTCTAGTGTCCAAACCAAGACGACCACCCAATCGGGCCTCAGCAGCGCTTAACCTACCTACCTGGGAGTTCACATCACCAGCAACCACAACGATATCTGAGCTTTTAGCCTGTCCTTGGCAGATTCAGGGCTACAGTCAGTTGGGGCGTATGCAGACACAACGAACAGGGTACGATGAACCTCACTTTCTCTAGATTCTCTCACAGATTTTGCCAAACGAACCGCACAGAGTCGACTGAAAACGAGTATCCAATCAAGCAGAGACGCTTCCGCTTGTTCGCTCAATACACTACCCACCCCAGCATATGCAGCTGCAGCGGCCTCTGCATCACCAGAGGTGCGCAGTCGGAACCTGCAACAGAGCGAGGGGGCAGTCAGTTCGATCACAGTACTTGCGTCCTTGTTTCTGACAGACAACATCAATCAATACAGAGGAAATCCAGGGTACGCGCAAGAGCCACCTGCTGATCTGCTTGCTTCAGTGTGCGAATATTGAAGCTGGCTAGACACACTTCTGCTTGCTTCAGTGTGCGAATATTGAAGCTGGCTAAGTAGACACACTTTCGGGGTTTAAAAACAGACTTCGAAGTGTTCAGGGTTGTAGCTGAACTCGAACGTGCAGAAGCTGCGACTGAGTGTGATGCAGGGCGAGCGAAACGACCAGTCCTACAGCTGGGACCTGCGGAGAAAGTATTCGAATTTGGGTGAGGGAGGGTGAAAGAAGGAAAACGTGCAAGTGTAAGAAAAGAGGCGTCAACAGTAGCATGTTTTCGCTTACCCGCCCTGCCGTATGCAGCAAGTAAGGCAACCCGGCTGATGTCACCATGCGACGGCCGATGTGGCATGAGAATATTGTTAGTTGTGTACGCCACGCTTGTACGAGGGCTGGGATACTGCCAGGGTGCTCACACCTAGACAGCAGGACAATTAGGGTCCTCAACCAAAGCCTTTGGCTCAAAAGCCTAACCGCAAGGTAGCGATGTTTGGCGGGAAATGCAAATGCATTACCATCTCTACGGTACATGTCGCCATACATGTTCCAATCCTCAACCTGGAGGGCCAGTAGACTGTGTTCGTCGGACCTCTATCCATGGATCAACGTGGTATGAGTGACTCTGTGAGCATCGTGCCGACATTCCCCAGTATAGCTCAGTAGGTCGCCGAAGTACACAAACCGCCACTCTACGGTAAGGTCCAGTCTCTACTCTTCAGACAGCACCCCTCAGCATCCTTCATATCCCTCAGTTAGGTCAAGGGGTAGACCTTCTGCCACCAAATTATCACGGAAAACAGCACTCTCTTCGGCAATGGTTCGGAGTACGCAATACATGGCCTAACCAACCAGCTTCCGGACACTTTAATGAAGGTTCATGGTTCACCACCGATGACTTGTTTTCTGATTGCCCGGTCGCGGATTCGTCGGCACCAACCCACACAAGCTGTGGTCCTGAGGCAATGATTGTCGAACACCTGAAGATGTCTCAGTTCCGCTGCTCGAACAGACCAAGTCCCACAGCCGTACAACAAAGCAGCCCGTACTGTATCCGGTTACGCACAGCTTCTTGGATATGTTGCTTATATCCGTTCCGGTTGGCATGTTTGTAAAAATGCTCAGATTCCTGTATGGTCGGCATAGCCTGCTTTATTTTGATTCGCCTTGAAGTTCATTTGAAAAACTACACTGAAAGGTTGTGAATGTTAGCGTTCACTGCCGTGAACAGATAGAGTAAGCTGTGGCACTTCATATTTGTGCCAAGCACTGTTGGCTACAAGTCAGCACTACTCTTCTGTCACGATCGCGCTGTATCTCCATACAAGTTGGTGAACGACAGTCTCCATTCTCGTTCTATTCTCCATCGTTCCTCTTTTCGTAGTCGTCCTCCACATAATGATGGATCGTTTCCGTGTTTCCCCCTTTTTTAAGCTACCTTCAATCCGGCATATATACCACCTTTCACTGCGGACCGTTCTTCATTCGAAGCTTGAGGTTCTGCACAGTGCATCGAGGCTTTTCCGGCAGTCTTTGGCGGTGAGCATTCAAATTCGCTCAGACTTGCGGTCTTCATCTTTTACGGTTGTCTTTCTTCAACTACTGCACCAATTTAGTGTGCTGTCCTGCATGAAGGACTCCTTTGCGACTCAGCATTCTGTTTTTAATATTGCAATGAAATGTCTTTCGATTAGAAATTTACATAACTTATCGCTGTCTTTGGAACCATTTTCTTCCGGACGGTGTTCTGGTGTCTCTGCTTTCGGTGGCGGATATTTTGAAGCTTGTCGACGCACTTTAGACCACATGACCGCTATGTTTAGGCTACAGGTGGAGCTCTTTCTTCAGCTGTATAAAACGCAATCACTTACACGGTCAGGGTTCTTGCAAGTGAAACCGCCCCTTTTATTTGGACAAAATATCCTACCAATAGGTGTATCTCGCCCGTTTTTCAACTGTGTAAAACTCACTCTCATTATCTTTCGGTTACCAGCAAAACTCGCCTCCCATATTCAGTGTTTCCGTCGTGATGAACCTTCAGTAACAATTTTTGACTGTTTGACTGTACATGATTCTTCGCTTTCGATTACCCTACAATCATTGCCACAGCGATTTCCTTCAAAACTCATTTTCCATCGTGCCTGTAGATTCTAGTTATAAGGAAGCGACCAAAGCTGATTCACGTAACTTGAACGGTGTGATTGAAGAATCGCAGCACTATATTCCTCCCAAAAAGTCGTTCAGCTGTAACACTCTTCCGGTGCCTAGCCGCCAGGCCACCCAAAGGTTGCACGAGGGCTGAGATACTGCCATGTTGCCCAACCTAGACAGAAAAAGTCGAGAGGCAGAGGTTGAGTTCGAACCACGTACCTTCCGGTCAGTAAATTCGCGCTCTAACCACTTGAGCCATCTCGCTCCTTCTAGGTGCAAGTTAATCGTACGTTCAAATAAGAGCTGAGCGACCAGGCAGGTGGTCGTGAGTTGAGCCTTCAGGGGATATGCGTTGCCGATGGCTCCCAAAAGGGATGAAATGGTTGTGCACTGTCTCTGGGTTTTCCAGGGCTTCCCTCTGGTTTTCACTTGCTGGACAAAGTTTCAATTGAAACTTCCAACTCTACTGTCTCTAAATCTATTTGTAAATGCGACTCTTGTGCGAGGCTTGTTCGACAACTAAAAGACAGCGTTGTTCGCAGGCTTATCTTGCCACAAATGAGTCTTATTTTCAATAAAACGTAGCAACTCGACTCCTGTCTGGTTTCCACTTTCCTGTGTGGCTCATTTCATTTCAGATAGATATGGGTGACAGCCGAAGTCATTCCGGCATTTTCATAGCAATTGAGGGGGCCGACCGGACAGGAAAATCTACTCAAGCATCTTTGCTTGCGGACGCATTGACCAAGCTTACCGGACGAACTGCACTGCTCTTGAAGTTCCCCGATCGCGACACTGCTCTTGGCAAGTGCTTGGATAATTATCTGAAGGGTGATACAGATGTGGATACACATGCTTTACATCTTTTATTTACAGCTAACAGGTACGTCTTTTGTCCAACCCGAGGGCGATATTTGTCTTCCTTAAGAAGACAAGGCTTCATGCTTTGCTTGGGCACTTGTGCGTGCTGTCTAGTTCGCATCGTCATAGATACTTCTACTAGACTAATAGTCCCCCTTGTTATGCCTGGGTTTGGACCAAAAGTAATTAGAATTGGTGAACTTTGTTCCTTGTTTCGGACGATATGCCTCCCGAAGGGTTTCTCTGAAATGGCACCCATCATTGCGCAGCCCGTTATGTTATCGATTTATCCTAACATTGCTGTCGATTTTTTCAATCGCATCATGCAGGTGGGAGAAACAAGATGAGCTTCGAAGCGCCTTGTCCAGTGGTTGTTGCGTCGTAGCCGACCGGTACAGTTATTCGGGAATCGCCTACACAGCCGCGAAACCACCTCCCACACCAAGCTGGCAGTGGTGTTGCGCAATGGAAAAAGGCCTAGTGGAGCCGGACTTGGTAATTTGTCTTACTCCGGAGCATTTTGATCACTTGAAAGACCGAAATGGCTACGGTACTGAACGGTATGAAACGGAAGACTTTCAACGTCGTGTTTTGGAGAACTATACGCGGCTAGCAAAAGACGCACAGTACACGGACTACAGTGAACTTGGTGTTGAAAATCCTGACAATGCCACCCAGTTTTGGCATTTCGTTCAGGCAACAAACAAAACGATGGATCAAGTGCATGAATGTGTGATGGCTATTGTGAAACGGAAACTAGAATCTATGAAATTGCCCGAAATTAGTGACACCGACATTTAATTCCTGTCCATTCCATGTGATAAATGGTTGTCGCATTTTTTCTGGCGTTTTTTCAATAACGCACTATATGATTGATTCTTTTTATTTGCATATACTTAGAAATTCCCTATTCTCTCCACACTCAACAACAGTACTTGTGTTTAATTGCCAGAAACGAAAATCGAGATAGTCCTGGGGCCCATGTAGTAATTTCTGTGGCTTTAGTTCACCGATTATGCTGGAACGGTTGGTAATAGTCCTTTTCTTATTTCCCTTTGGTTTAGACATTGAACGGACAGAGGTCCGTGGTTGTGATGTTGGGCACGTAATCCTTCCGTGACCGCTTCATGGCCGGGATCGCTAGACAGGTGGGCCAAGATAAGTATCCGACTTTTCTTCTCCGTGTGGTGAACCACTTTGCAGGATCTACTGCACAAAACTTCTGTTGATAAATGTGCATTGCACAATCGCCTGGTTCTGCACGTTGATAGAATTGTTTCAACACCATCCGGACCCGTGGATGAGCCAGATGGTCACAAGTGACAGAAATACTTAACCAGTCGGTGAGGAGTGCAGGTGTTCGGTTAAGCTAGGATTATACTGGCTGGTTTCTGAGAGACAAGAATACTCATTTTTAGGCTTTCCAAAGACCCCACCAAAGCTACATGCTACCCAGTCTGTCTGAACTCCCACGAGTAAGAAGCCAGTGATCAGCGATCTTAGGCGTTGAGTAAGGTTGATGGTCAGTTGTTAAGGCCCCAGCTTAAGGAACAGAGGGTTCGTGGTTCGAACCCAACCTCAGCATCTCGACTGCTCTTGTCTAGACTTGGGCAGCCTGGCATTATCCTAACCTCTTCCCTCCTGTTGGTATGGCAGATAGGCACCGAAAGTATGCTACAGCTGAAAGATTTTTTCCAAGTAACTTAACGCAAATGTAAATTTGACTTATGGATATGAATGTGTTCACCCTGGTCATCGTGAACGAGGCTGTAGAGCGTCCAACAAAGCCTAGCAACCTTCCACACCCAGCAGCGTTCCGTACCTCAGACGTCAGACGACTGTAGCTGATATGACGGCGTGAGTTAGCAGTGTCCCGCATGCATTGTCCTATCCTGATATCATTCGTTTATATTGAACGAAAAGATTGACAACCGGCTTGGTTCACCTAGAACTTATGGGTGGCAGGCAGGATGCATAGTAGTGAAGGCATGTGTTCACTTATCTGTGTTCAGCTGCCCACGAAAAGCTTTCGATTTTTCTCAGTTCAGTGAATGCTTCTATCTTATGAATCCAGATTATTCGAAACCCAATTTTACACAAAATAGGTTCCATTAGACGATGACGTACTGCACGAAGCATTCATACAAGCATGTCCAGGGCATATCAACAGCTCATTTAGTCAACGACTCATCGGAACAATACAGTCGAAACACCGAAACCCCACTGACCGAAATTATGCCGTCACGAAGAGACTAGACCTTACAGTGGTGTGGCGGTTTGTGTACCTCGGCGACCAATTGGGCTATACTGGGGAGTGTCCGCACGACACTCAGTCTCATACCAGTTTGGTCCATGGGTAGAGGTCTGACGAACACAGTCTTCTGGCCCTCCAGGTTGAGGATTGGAACATGTATGGCGACATGTACCGTAGAGATGGTAATGCATTTGCATTTCCCGCCAAACATCGCTACCTTGCGGTTAGGCTTTTGAGCCAAAGGCTTTGGTTGAGGACCCTAATCGCCCTGTCCAGGTTTGGGCGCCCTGGTAGTATCCCAGCCCTTGTGCAACCACGACATACACAACTAACAATATTCTCATGCCACATTGGTCGTCGCATAGTGCTATCAGCCTTACTTGCTGCATACGCCAAGGCGGGTAAGCGAAAACGGGCTACTGCTGACGCCTCCGTTCTTCCTCTTGTAGGCCCAGCGCTTAGGACTGATGACTCCATTCGTCTTGCATCGGTTTTGCGTACAACACCTGCTCGTCATGTAGCACCAACATCGCCAGTTACCTTCAGATCAATTTTCAAGCCTCGACACCCTGTCTATCTGGCCGCCTTCAGTGTGCGCACTCTGAAGCAAGCAGTACAACAAGCTGCTCTTGCACCCACACTGGGCCCGCCTGGCATTGATGTGTGCTGCTTCAGAAACAAGAATTCAATATGCCAGCACAGTGATTGAGCTAACCGCCCCATCACTCCACTCGCTTCCGGCTACGCACCTCTGGTGATCTGCCGCAGTGGGATGTGCAGGGGTTGGCGTCGTCCTAAGTCACCGGACGGAATTATCTTTGCTTGACTGGATACCTGTTGATATCCGCCTCTATGCGGCTCGTCTGGCAACGTGCATAAAGGAGTCTCACAAGTGAGAAGTTGATAGGTGTTTGTTTATCGTGTCTGCCTATGCCCCAACTGACTAGCTCCGACGCCATCAAAGACAGGTTTTACAACCCAGCTAAAACCCCAGATACCATTGTGGTTTTTGGAGGTATGAATGCACAATCGGACAGACCTGGCATATCTGAGACTCAATAAGGAGGTCGACATGGATCGGATCCGATAGGTGAGAACAGCGGTGAACAACTGCCTCAGTTGTGTGGTGACCACAGGTTGTTTTTTATGCAGTACTAACTTCCGAAATAGCCACAGCCGTCTGATCACATGGTGTCTTCCAACAGCATGGCGGCCGCAAGCCCAAATCGATCACATTACCATCAGCTGCCGATGAAGTGGATCAATAACTGACTGCTGGTCCTTTTGGAACAATTTTGTGGATTCCGACCATGTGCTCGTCCGGAGTCGCTTCTTACGGTTTCCGGGGCCGCGTACGATGGGGACAATCCGCTTGGCAACTGGAAGACTGGCAGATCCGGATGTTAGACGAGCCTACCAGAGTCGCCTTCTAGAGTCTCTTACAAAAGTTCCACCATTAGATGTGAACTCATACTGGGACGAGATTACCACTTATTCGCATAGTGCTGGGGATTTCACCTGTGGCACGGCACCACCAGGGTCACTCAAATTCTGAATATTAGATCGAACCGTGGTACTTCTTTCATCTCGGAGAAATATCCCAGCCGGCCCCGAACATAACTCAATGCGACGAATTGTCAGACGTCCAATGAAGGTGGGCGTGCAAGCCGAACGCGAAGTGTGGTGGACGCGCAAAGCCAAGCAAATAGAAGAGGTTCAGAAAGCCTGTAATGCTCGAAGATTATTTCAGTTGATCCGTGCCACCGATCCCCGGGAACCGCTTGTGAGAGTGACTATCTCGAATGAACAAAAACGTCTCAACCGATGGGCCAAATACTTCGAACAACGATTGTCATGGCCACCAGCTGGCACCCATCTGAAGCCCACAGGTGACATTGAACCCTAGCCGGTGAACGTGGAACCGCCTACGGCCTCGGAGGCTTATGACTGCATATGTTCTCTNNCAGAAGCTGTGTTGGTTGGGACATGTTTTACGCATGCCGAAGAGAGTATTGTTTTCCATGCCCAATTCGGAGTGGCGTAAACAGAGAGGTGGCCAACCCATGACCTGGCAGAGGAGTATGAAGGAGATGACGAAACGCTTGGGTGCTGTCGGTGCTACTCGCCTTCCAGGATGGAGACCGCGTGATCCTTACTGTGCCTGGTTGGAGACACTACAAGATATGGCTGCCAACCGATGTCAGTGGCGTTCTTGTTGTCAGTTTCTATCCAGATTGCCTGAGTGAATGTCTGGAGGTGTAAGCACCTCGGAATGATTGTAGTAAGCTACCACGAACTCCTTTTCTTATCCGCGTTTATTCTCTTCTTCAAAATGAGGTTTTCAATTAAATCATGGTTGTACGGCAGCGAAGCATCGGTGTGTTATGCTGTCGATGTTGGTTGATTTGGTTGTACGGCAGCGAAGCATCGGTGTGTTATGCTGTCGATGATTGGTTGATTGACGTTCGCGTTTTTAGCAACTGAAGATAGTGACTTGTGTAGCAGGAAGCTGTATTCTACTGGGATAAAATGAATCGCAGTTTGTGACAGTTCGAATAATATCGGGTCCTCATGTGTTGCTTCATCCTACAGTTTCTCATGCGCTCTCAGGACAAACTACCAACCAAATAATGTAGAGAAAAGAACTCGTCGGTCTTGTGCGGCATTTATGCACCGAAAGAGTGCCACAACTGAGTAGTTTGTTTTCATTATGTTGTGTCAGGCAGCAAAGAAAATACTATTACATTATTCCTTGCAATTCGTTTCATGTGGACAGTTTGTTAAATTGCTACCCAATCACCAGCATCAAATCCTCTCGAAACGGCATCCTTAACATCCAGTAGTAAACCTTTCACGACGTAGTTCTTGTATAAGGAAAACCCGCCGGGGATTTTCGTAGTGGAGATTAATGCTACCACTAACAAACAACTCAAATGTACTTTGCTTTCTGTGTACGACGCCACACCAGAAGAAATCAGCAGGAGTTAAGCACTAATGGGTTGCCGGAACCTGCAAAGAGCAGTCCATGTATGACGAGAAAATACCAGGTATGCGCATATCGTGTTGGACAGAACTCTTCAAAAGTTAACAGAACAAATGTGACGTGCGGATCATTTGCCTAAAAACCGGAGTGAAAGAAACTCAATTCAATCGTTGCCGCTTGGGAATTTCAACAGTTCAAAAGGGAGTTAAATTACAGTATAAGACCGTCATGGACAAACCGCACTGCTGAGGTTATTTTCTGTGGCAACTCATGTTTCCCCGTCTAAACAAGTTTATTGTAACAAGGTTTCACTATTACGGGTTAACGAGCTTGTTCGCGCGCATGATTCTAATGTGAGGGAGAATGATTCAGGCTGAAAGAAAAATCGTCCTTTCCTCAGGGGTCTGGTGACAGTGTCCCGCCTATTTTACTGAGAACTGACAAAAACGCTCCTCACAGAAGTTAGATTTGTAATATATGGACCGGACTGGGGGAGGTAGCTGAAAAATATACACCAATTACTCCCTAGCTGTTTATAAAATTAGTCGTTTAGTAGACCAACGTAAATGATAAAGCAGCTGCCGAAAAAATCCACAGAATATGGTAGTAAAAATGAACCTCACATGATTCACTTGATTTCATAGTGGGACTGGGTGCAATCTTTTAGTCTTGCACAAGGATCTATTGGTACCGATGGGAGACCCAGTCTGTCTATGTCCATGCCTTCGTCATTGAACTAGATAACTCTACGGCAAACTACTGGGATGCAGCAGAGCGCTTTCAGCTACTGAAGTGAGTGCAGCTCCCACACCACAGAAACTAACCATTGCAAAGGGATCATCATGACCCCAGAAATGAAGTGCGCAATATCTGAGGTTGTCCTAACCAATTTGAAGCACGTGACTGAAGTGACAAATAAGCGATGAATATGGACATTTTGGCCACTTGGAGGGGACACCTTACAGCATTCGCGATCCTATCGCGGAGGACTGCAGTAATTGACCTCCAGATTTCGTCTGATTACGGAGACTCTTCCTATGGGCCGTACTGTAGACCAGTATTGGACAGGTACCACATCTTGTTCCTTATCCCTGGTGCATCACGAAAAGCCCATGTTTGAATTTCATTAACAATGGTAAACAGCAAGGGGTGATTATCAGTAGGACCACAAAACCAAAGGGGTAGCTACCCATCCGTGTTTAGTGAAAAACGCAGTCTAAAAGTCCCCCCCCCCCCATTTATCCAAAAGCTATGAAAAAACCGGCACTTCTAAGAACTTTTTTTCAAGCATGAACAAGAAAGGATCGCATAGCGTTTATTCAACGTCATCATCAATATCGTCTGCTTCCTCTAGGGCTTGCTTGGCGAAGGCTTCTGCTTCTTGGAACAGCGACGCGGGGACCGTCTGGTGAACTCCTCCACTGCCTGAGATCAGCGTGTCACGGAATAGATAAAGTACAACTTACATTCACCGACCCAGCTCAAATCCAATTCGAAGTTCTTGTCCTTGATTTCATCATGAACTGTATAGATACTAAAATTTGCAGAAAGAAATAGATGGACGATGACTGGTACGATAAAAAATTACAATGCCGAACTTAGAAACACAGTCACACTCGTTGAAGTATCGTTGTAGTGAAGCCCGTTAATGTGGGGGTGATAAATGACGACACAACACCAAACTCGGTGATGTGTACGAAGGAATACTCGGGGTTGATGTTCCCGACATCGCACGAGATCGTATTTTACCCTTAGAAAATATCCGTTCTAGATGACTTTTTGGTGCCTGCTCCACTGTCTCATAATATCACCATCAGCGGTGACATGGATGATTTGGGCAACACCAAACTTCCTGACGCAACCAAACTACGTCAAACTGCAGGATGTGAACATTGGAAATGATATCTAAACCCCTCTTCGCTATAGCTGGTTCTCATGGTCAAGGTCATGGAATTCATAGATGTCACTCCTTGGTGCAATATGGGTGGTGGTGAACTATGCCCCTCAGGAATTTCAAATACATACATGGTACGTAACTTTCTAACTTGGTGAACTGAGACAAGTACGGTGACGAAACACATCGGTGAGGGTCTCCTGGGAAGTAACTATGACACGCCATAGGAATTACGTAATCCAAGTATCGCGAAAACACTTCGGGTTTTTAAATCAAGGGATCAACAAGCAAAACCTATAGGAACTTCGAATTACGAAGTGACAACCTAAACTATTTGCCAAGTGTACATACGTAGGTTGGAAGCACCCACCGCCAGTGACAACCGTTCTGATAATCTCCGAAACACCTTCGTTGAAGGGATGCCCCAAATTTTTCAGGTTATATATTCCTATATAATGGTCCTTCCAGTAGAGTATCCCTCAAACGATCATTCTCATCTAGATTTAATTGCGCTCGCTCGTGGTGCTAACCAGCCTAACTTTGTAACACAACGCAAACGATGTTGACTACAGTGTGATAGAACAGGATAATCGACATAAGCAAAGTGCACGTTGCATGTGCTGCATGACAACTAGATGCGATGGTCCACCGTCCAGAGTGCCATATGATTTTGAAAGATAGCTGAACCATTCGTAAGTCCCAACGTAAACATCCAGCTCAGGTTGTAGATATTCAGCACCGACAAATGGTGCGTGCACCTGTTAATGTACGTTGGGTAGGAATGAGTGATGAAGTACATACTGGATCGCACCATAAAGCGCACAAGGACCAGGATTACGTCAGAAATTTAATAAAAGGACCATGTAAGATAGTTTACAGGGCATTGGCTCAAATCTCATTCAAATATGCAGCCAGTGCAGCCGATGGACGAGCAGCGCATGCCCATTTTTGGTGATCAATATTTGATTTCCATCCAGCAAACAACTGGGTGAGAGTTATGTGAGGTAGCCTGCCGATATTTAGTATAACGATAAACATATACCACATTGGGTGAATTGCGTTTCCATAGCAAAATAATGGACAAAGCTCATCAAATCAGGATGATGCATTCTAATGAAGCATCAACAGATAGAGGTCTCCATCAATCGAGTCTCATATCAAAGGCCTGACTTCAAGAAAACAGGACTGAGCGTAGATTTCCTGATCCCACCCACCGACGATTTGTGCATTTCAGCGACCACACTTCGCAATGGAAATAAGCCGGAATTCCCCAGCATCATAAGAAAATCAGCCATGGCGTCATGTTTTGTCAGACGCAAAGACCTCCAGTTGGTAGAAGCCACCCAGGTTTGTACCACTGTGTGCTAATTGTAGGTGTACAAAAAATCATGCAGCTACTTGAAAACTTCCTGTCCATGGATAGATTTGAAACACCGAAATAGTTGTTTGGCCGGAGAGTTCCAATGGGAAAACTTAAAAGGCCGCTGTGCTATCGTTGAAAACAGTAGACAACAGACACAAATACATAATTCCTATAGTGCCCGTATGCCCACAGCACAACTGTTCAAATGAACAGAACTACATCACACTTTACGGAAATTAATCGACATCAATGAGTAATGTGTACGACAATCGTGTGGCTTACATTTTGGCGGCCTCCTTCACAAGATCGTTGGATGACAGTTCCATTGGCTTTAGCTTCTCGATTTCCGTTGTGGCGTTTTGTTTCGCTTTACCGATTGCGCAACCACGGTATGCCTACGAAAAAATTCAAGTGTCAAAAAAGGTGGGGAGCATCTTACGTCGTATGCCAAACACATCCGTAAATACTGAACTAACAACGCTTGGGAAAGGGGCGGTGGGCGAGGTCAAAAAAGCGTTAAGCGAAATACCTCAGTACTGTTTCTTCCAAGACTTGGCTAAAATTTTAGGCGTGGTTCAGAGGCACCAAGTGAGATGAGGGGCTTTTTTCATTTTAGCCGAGCTGTTCTTCCGCAGAAGTTCCGTCACTAATGGAAGATACACCATCAGTTCATGCTGATTTACGGCGTCAGAACTATATACCATCCGGCCTCTCTAGTAGATAGGGCAAGCACGTCAGCAGATGTTCCGTCCAATGGTAGTGAGACACTGCTCCCCGCAACTTTTTGTTTGAAAGCCTATACAACTGTGGTAGTGTGCAGGCAAACATCCAATGCATTGAGACGTCTTTTTGGTACACAACTTTGATTGAGGACCTTACTTATTTGTCTACCTTTGAGCACCCTGACAATACTCCAGCCCATGCAAAACAATGAAATTAAACAAACATACTGTCACATCACATCGGCCGTCGCGTGACGCCACCAGCCTGTCCACCCTACTCACTGCACACAACACAAAAGGTAGGCAAAACAGGCTATTGCTGATACCACCTTACATTTTCACAAATCCATTCTCCTCTCCCAGATTGCCGTGACTACTCATGCTGCGGGTCCCAGCAGTGAGACGACATGTTTTCTTCTCGCATCAGCTTTCAGAGCGTCCTCTTAGGCCATAGCTTTAAATACTTCGGGTGATTCCTCAGGCCTCTGAAACTGGCTTCGCTTTTGTTGTTCGCACTCTGAAGGAATCAGAATACATTGAATTTGATCGTACGCTGGATTCCCTCTGTTCTGATCTATGGTGCCTCCTAGAAGCAATGAAACGAGGAAGTACTGTATTCGTTTCACCGACATGCTCGTCCAGTTCGCGAAGTCCCACTTCTTGTGACGGCTAAATACGCTGGGGTTCATACGATCTACTACCGAGAGGAAGTGTCTGCTGTATTGGATGACGGTCGACGTGGTCTTTGAGGATTCGTTTGACAAGGTCCACGGAAGAATCCATACGGAAGAAGTAAATCACCCCCGTTTATTGTAATCACTTATGTTCAGACGTAATGTGGCTCTAGCTTCCCAAAAGCTCTATGTTCTTTTGAAACGTGTTGAATGCTCAGGCCTCGCTGTGATCGCTATCGACACAAACGCGTATACAGATAATTGGGTGGCCATCTTGGATCGGACACATCAGGAAGTGCGTACCACAGATATGTGCCCATCATGAATTTTCCTCTGCAATACCTGCTTCCGGAGAACCATGTATCGTGTGATCACATGGTGCTCACTAAAACATCCGGCACCTGGGCTCAAATAGACCACATTACCGCCAGTTATGGTGAGGACGATCGCTGCCCTCTGCTCCTGTACGGACTATGTATCTATCCACTGCCATTTTCATATCAGCCCGAAACGCGTGCTCGCTTGACCGTCAAGTTTATGAACTCCTATATCAAATAAATGTACCAGAAGTAACTCCTGTAACGCCTGACCGCTGACCCGATCCGGACAGAAGCGATCACTGCAGTGATATTTTCAAGGATATGTCACGCCGAACCTTCTACCGGCGGTGAACCCAGCCAGTTCTTTCCAAACATTGTACCTCTGATGAGACTGACTTTGCTGGGTACCCAGCGATTCCCTCCAGGTCCAACTACACTCCAAATCCAAACATCATCCGACTCCAAGTGAAACTGAATGTCCGCACTGACTAGCAAGCTTGGAAGGTCCGGAAAGTCGAAAGGAGGAAGCCAAATAGTGGAAAGGAACACACGTTCCTTTAATCGGTTAATTCAAGATACGCTCACAAGATTCTTTTACTTGAGGCAGTCGGAAACCATAACGACTGCTATTCATCGAAGAACTTCTGGATTTCTGGACAATTCAGTTGACCGTTTGATGTTTTGAATTCGGCCTACCAGCCTGTGTGGGAAATATGGACTGTGAACATAAAACTTCCCCAGCTTCAGAATTTCTCGAATGTATAACCTTATTCAGACGTCACTATGCTCCTCCCTCTTACGCCCTTCAAAGACAGCACAGAGGTCTTCAGTCAGTGACTGTCCAACCTATTTCGGTCTATCTGAGGAGACATTCACCAATAACTTGGGATAGTCGACGGTAGTGCGGATCTTCACAAACAGCACTCGCAGCGAATATGGGAGGCTCAGAGGTGACAGTGGACCAAGTGGTAAGAGCGCGAATCTAATGACCAGAAGGTGTGTGGTTCGGACCCTACCTCTGCCTCTCGACTTCCCCTGTCTTGGCTGGGCGACCTGTCACTATGCTCCTCCCTCTTACGCCCTTCAAAGACAGCACAGAGGTCTTCAGTCAGTGACTGTCCAACCTATTTCGGTCTATCTGAGGAGACATTCACCAATAACTTGGGATAGTCGACGGTAGTGCGGATCTTCACAAACAGCACTCGCAGCGAATATGGGAGGCTCAGAGGTGACAGTGGACCAAGTGGTAAGAGCGCGAATCTAATGACCAGAAGGTGTGTGGTTCGGACCCTACCTCTGCCTCTCGACTTCCCCTGTCTTGGCTTGGGCGACCTGGTAGTATCCCAGCCCTCGTGCCTCCTTCGTGTGGCATGGCAGCTAGGCACCGAAAGGGCGCTGCAACTGAACGATTATTATTTCATGTCCCATCCGGTGGTACTACAGGGGCATATGTAAAAATAAGCCACACACTTCGAACAAGCCGAAATCTTAGTGTTCCTTGACTCTAGGAGTACATCCAATTGTGTAGATCGACCACCTATTCTGATTACGTTTTTGTATGTTCCGCTGATCACATTCAAATCCTTACACCCACAACTGTGGGTATGCGGATCCTTCCACAAGTTCTCTTAAAAGCATGGAATTCCTAGTCTATATCACTCTTGTCCAAAGTCGATAAACTAATGAGGTACACTAAAAGGTTTCCGAAGCCCCGCGGCCTAAGAGGACGATGGTGAGAAAATTATCGACCCGTAGTATGTAAATGGCATCCCGAAGGGACAGGCGGTATGAAATAAACAAACACCAATGATAGCACCAATTTCCAACGCTGATACGTCACCGCCGTACGACTTTTAATTATTTAAGCCTCATTTGGAAGAAGGAAAGGATCTGGTGCCAGCCTGACAATCATTCTGAGGCGCCTGCACCTCGGATAGTCTGGAAAGAAAATGAAGCACGCCAATGACACCAATTGGCACCTATGCCTCACAGCACCTCCAAACAGGCACAGTGAGGTCCGCGCATCGACAGCACCCAAACGTTCCGTAATCTCTCACACCCCTCTTCCAGGTCAAGGTTTGGCCACCTCTTTGCTACCACAATCTGAATTGAGTGAATTGAGTGGAGAACAGCGCCCTCTTCGGCACACACAGTACACAGCCTTGCCAACGCAGCCTACAGTGCTGGACATTCTTCAATGAAAGTTCCCATTGCACAACCTAAACTGATCAACCTAGTTTGAGAAATCCCGAGTGTCGCAGGGGTACCCCCCAGTAAAGCCCAAACTGGTCATCAGGGAACACGAATAGTCGACACGCTGAGGTTCATTCTATTGGTGACGGTATTATACAGAATGACCGCCACTGTACCGTCTTCCGGTGCGCACTGCGTAGCTAAAAGTACAAAGTCATGCTTCAGAATACCAGGCCTCACAGTTCAAGAGGGCAAACTTCCACATTCCTAGGTAGGTGCTTTGATCTTGACGGAAATGCATATGACAAATCCAGAGTACGAAGCATCACGATCCGAAATAAGTTCACCAAATAGCTATGCCGTTGGGTTTCAAGTCTCAGACGTACTGGCCATAATACGTATTGTTGCTGTATGGTTTCTAAACCGGATTGTTGCGAGCTACCTATATCAAGCGTCTAAGTTTCTGTCAAAAGCTTCTGGTGGTAGTTAGATGATGTCGGCGAACTCACAACGCAACATTTACGAGGCTATGTACAGTTGTGCAGGGGTCACACTCACCAAAAACACCCATCACCCTAAGATACGGTGGTTCAACCGTAAGGGATATACGACGAACCATCATCTACTGAGGCGTGCTGCATTCCAAACTTCAAAAAGAATGGACCGCATGGTGGACAGAGTGGCATCAAGACATGAGTGTGCGGGCCATCTTCGAGGTTGGTGGGATCCTCGCGCTTAGCCAGAATCATCGTAAGACACGGCTAACCAAAGTCAGCTCAAGTCTGCAGTGTATAACTAAGCGTTTGGACTTGCTGACACTCCAGAGTGATCGTGGCAGAATGGGTAACTCCCCCTTCCCGTCCCAATGTTTTTTTAGATAAACACCTAGACACATTGCAGTAAAGTATCGGTGTCAATATGACATTCCGTTCTACCATAATCGTGTTTTAATATGGATATGGGAGTCGCTGGTTCAGACCAGCAACTGCTTGAATAGATCGCCATTCACTTCAGTCTAGGCTTTGGTGGTATGGCAGTATCCCTGCCCATATGCATCCTCTGTGTTTAATGACTACTACGCAAAAAAGGGTGTTACAAACGAACGAGTTTTCAGTAAACATACGCGCAGAATTTACCTCCGGAGCCAATGCAATTAGCCATAATGCTGGGAGTAACAGTCAGGATAAAGACAATACACCTCATTCGGAACGAAGAAAAGCTCAAGTCATAAACCAACTTACAAAACTCAAGCCCGAAGGCTCCACAACATAGAGATGGGGACCATCTTCTTCGCAGGAACCAAGTAGCAGTGAAACTCCAAACGGTCGAATAGCACTGTAGAGCGTGTGCGCGTGCATGTACATCCCGATTCTTTCAACCAATGACTATGGAAATGTACAGTTAATGGAGCGATTTACATAGAGCGGGATCGGTTTTCCGAAATTCTCTTTAAAATTCGCACACTCTTCCCTAGCCACATTCACCAATGCCTTTGCATCTACCTGAAATCCAACAACAACCTGGAAGCTGGATGATAAGCGGCCGAAGGAAACAAACCATTCCGATGTGTTTGTCAATATTATACACACGCTTAACACATCCTTTTTCGTATAATTTCGAAGTCACAATATTCTCCACACCAAATACAACGCAGTCTTTACCACGAATTGCAATTGCAGTTCTAGGGGACGCTTGCCGTTAATCATTTCGACTCACCCGCTGTTCTCTACGGCTTTGCAGGCATATTCAATCTGAAACACTTTTCCGCCACGAGAGAACTGAGATGCAGAAAGGTCATACTATTAACGGATTGGAATCATGAGATAGTGCGCACTTACACCACTACCAATGGAACTCATGGCAATTCAATACCAACACAAAACTAGAGCGCTGCCAGCAGAAATCTTTTGTTTTGATTGGTTGTTCAATTAGATCAAAGGAAATGATGCATGCAGCCTATCACCCATGACTCGAGACCACCATCCATGAGTACATTTTACCGTAATGTGTTCGATTCCACTGTAGTCGTTTCATTAGGAACCCGGCGGAATGGGAGATGAATCCGGATGTGTTAGAAGAATACCCCCACATTTATGTGGCAAAACAGTGATCCTGTTATCATGCACCCTGTAAATCCAGGATAATTTACAGTTGTATTTACAATGGAACCTTTTTTATGAGGGTCTTAGATCACTACGTAGCACCGGAATAAGCCGAAAAAGAGAAAACACCAATTTTTTCATCCCTTATCCTTGTTCTTACCTGTTTTGTCCACTATAGCCAGTAACCAATCACAACTCGCCTTGTCCAACGCAGTTCGCCGAGCTCGTGACTAAGACGTGACCTTCAGTTTGTGATTTTGGGTGGCCTTGAGACCATATCCTTACTTCAGACTCAGTTTCCAAAGATGCACGCCCAAAGCTTATCGTCTCTCGGAGCTGGTTTAGTAGGTGTATGCTTTAAATTTTCCTATTGTTTTTCGCACCCTCGTAGTTGTGTGCCCTCACCGAGTTACTCCTCAATGTAGTTACTGGGAGCTCGGAGTATTTGTCCATGCTCCCTGGGTGGGGATGGCTTACATCATCCATCGGTTTCACTTCGCCTGGAACGCACTCGAAAAAACGCATGAAAATATGATTTGAAACGGATCCCAGGTGCGGTGTTTACAAATGCAGTAGGAAGGTTTATTCATACTAGTTACCGAAGCAGTGCATGTCGATACACAGGAAGAGTACGCATACTTAAAACTTAGAAACCCCTAGCCATGTTCGGGCTGTGAATCAATGGATTTAGCGGTAGAATACATTCTCAGGCCTTGGAATAATGAGGCTCACGCAGGTATCAGGCAACGTTGGAAGTGACGAGTAGTCAGCGGGGAAAATGACTTGCAGGCCTCTTTTGAATTCAGCGGATTTGGTTCCAGTACCAGTCATTCTAGCGGGTGATTAAACAGTTTTAATGAGACTTGGATCATTCCAATGCCTTGGATAGAAGACTTATTCAACGTGTTCCAAGAGTGGCTTGACGTGGGGTCTGTAAAATCCATGGAAGACTCTGCAAACAACATCAGTGAAACCGGACCGGTTCATATGAAGAATAACAAACGCCTACTGATCTTGATGCAGATGAAAGTTCATGCATTCATAGGCTGGAATACTTGATTACTATCCTTACTCGGTTCCGCACTATCTTCTGGACCGCTGGCATCATTGACGATGAAATCTTTTGTCTTTTCCCCTCCATGTGACATTTATCCGCACTATCTTCTGGACCGCTGGCATCACTGACGAAATCTTTTGTCCTTTCCCCTCCATGTGACATTTGGGCATGCCTTTCTCCAACGCCTTGTGTTTTACCACGCCTATGTACTCCTGAATTACAAAGCATGTGACCCCAAGGTTTCACATCATCGCAAATTGCGCATGGAAACTAGTGAGCACACCAGAACGAACTGGCCTGAACGGGAGCCCTTTTAGGATACGGTGGACACCGAAGCCAAGAAGGGATGAATTTATCGGACCATCAACGAGAATTTTATACGCGGAAGATGATCCAAGTAACAGCGTATGATGGGTTTCTCAAACCCCGTAGGAATCAGCTTGAAGACCAACGATGTCAAACACGATTGTTTCCTTTTGAAGAATCGCAAAATAAAGCGTCCGATATCGACCATTATCCCTTCGATCCTCTTAACTCGAACAAAAACGTGAGTATGCTACCCGCGTGGGAGCATTTTCGGGGAGAAAGCTTCCGGTATTCGGATGATATGGGATTCCTCATTCAAGTAAGCGTTCCATCATCTTGCTCGGTACTATTCTGAAATTATCAGAACTGTAGTTCTCGACTGTTTAAGGGACGCTGGCGTTTGATGTTGGCAAGCCAGTCGCCTTCTTTCAAGCTGAAGGATGGCTGAGTTCGTCAAGAAATCAGATAGGAAGATTTGTTCAGTCTGAGGAGGATTCCCTTGAAAATCCGGCACCTCATCTTGCTTCAAGTACTGCATGGGTATTTGTCATGCGAAAACTTGCGAACGTTTTCCACCGTACAGAAAATATCTGTTGAGTGGCACCCAAATTCAACTTTTCTGTGTTCGTGCTCAACGGAATAACAAAGGCAAGAAACAGACCCTGCGGTGCTTTCTGTTGTTTCGGGCAACCAGTATTTTGTTGTGGATTTGTTTTGGGATTCTCAGTTTCTGCTGCTAAAATGCTTCTATCGAATTGTTGATTCTTGGCTTTTAGCTTGGAATCCCGCTATTGTTTTTGGAGAAGGGCCCAGCAACCTGACCGGCTTCGTAACTTTCTCCAGCGCTTCTCCGAATTATAGCTGCTCAGCAAGTGACGTATGGTAGCTCGTCCACATAATTCTCTGTATTGATTTCTAAACATCGTTGATTTGATTATTGTTTTGCGGACCGTTACACTCTAAAGTCATTTTGCTGCCTTCGGACTCGGTGGAGTTCATAGAGTTAATTCAACCGCGGTTGCATTTGTGTTGCACCGACTTCCAGCTTGTGAGCCATCTGCGTGGTCAACTTGACGGTTGCCTGATTTCAGGTAGACTGTTGTCATAAAAACCTCAGCTGTTGGGGCACAAATTACAAATACCTCCAAAGTTTTGGTGTCTGCTCTTGATGGATTATATTTAGACGCCGGCTGTTCCCCACGTCCGTGAATATCCTTTTCACAACCATGTCGAAGGTCAAGCACAAAGGAGGATTCTGCATAACTGACTGTCCAGCGAGTGTTGGATTCGCGAAAAGGACCCTGTGTTCGAGATGAACTTTTGAGGCTAATCGTTTAATGAATCCTCTTCGACAGGCCTTCCTCACCCCTCGGCAATTGAGTGTTGACATTTGGGCAAGTGTGGACTGTCCCGCGCACCCTATGTTTGTCCCAACGCAAACGTTACCATTGCTGGTGTTCCGTAGGTTTGTTATGGGTGAGCAGATGTTACGAGCTGGAGACACTGCAATTCAACCGGACTAACAAACGTTCAGTGCCGGTTTACTTATCGCAATGGCTATCTTAATTCTGGTATCCTATTTGAAGCAGGCAGGCTTACATGTCTTCGGACGGTGATCCTAGGATATGCACCTGAATTCCGGGAAAGTCTTTTAAATAGATAGAGACCTTTTCATTTTCACTCGCATGGAAGTTGGTGAAAAATTAAATAAAACCAAGACACTCTTTGTTCCAGCCCCTCGCAATCATTTTGCGTAACTCGGTCTGTTGGAGCCTTCGGGGGAGAAGCACCGAGACCCGTCTCGTAGGGCTTGTTCGCTTGCCAGACTGGGCAGCCGATCCATGCATAACTGCCTCAATATTTCCATTCACATGATAATTGTAATCACAGTGACCTTCTCGAGTAAAATCGTCAAAGGTCTAGAGTAATCCTGTGACGAGTGGGAGTGAAAAACGGTAGATGTTAGCTCAGGGAATATAGCTCATTGAAATATTTTTCCATCCGGCTTTGCGCCTTACTTCGCATTCCCAGAAGCCATTTAAAGAAATACCGGCGAGTCCTGAGGTGAGGGAAAGGCACAGGGGGGGAAGAACTGTCGAGGTGGCCCAATTTCCCTCTAACAAAATATTGGAAGAGTTCCATCCCAGAGGTTGGCAGCATAGCCAACATCCCGGACTCACGAACATGGCCACAAGCGGAGATCAGATCTCAGAAAATGAGGCTTGTAAATG